GGGGGGGGGCGGGACCTCTCTCCCCCTCCTTGTGCCTTTTGGGTTGCCAAATTTGATCGTGCACCTTGCTGTCGAGACTGACACTGGAAATGGCAATCACGCTGTCACCCTGGCCTGTGGGCGTTTTTTCATCTTGGGCATACTCCCCATGCGCGAATGGCAGATCGTTGCCGGGGTTTCGGGCCGCCAGGAAGACTTGGATGCGGTGATCCCGGCTGTGCTGCGTCGTTTCCAAAAGGAGACCGGGCGCGCGGTTCTCCACACCATTTGCTACTACTGAATTGACCCTGGGGCACATGGCTGGCGGTGAGAGGCAGCGGAACCGACCAGGTGGCGGATCTGCCGCCGGATATACGCCCATGTCCGCCCGTTGCCGGTAGAAAAATAGACTTTCCCATCGCCCACATTGCAGGGAGCTGGCCCCGCGCCTGCCTTTCCCGACGCCCTCCCGCCCACCTCGAAGGGAGGGGGGCGGGCCCGGGCAAAGGCCTGTTTGTTTTGAACACATGGAGAGGGATCTATTGGAGAGGAAGGAGGAAGGGGGAGGGGGCGCCAGAATTGGGCCGCTGCGCTCCCACAATGTGAAAAGATCGAACAAGGACAGGTGGGGGAAAGGGTGTTGGTTCGGCGACGATTGTCACCAAGGCCTGATGGTATACTACAAGAAGGGCGTCAGGATTGAGTGGCGTGCGAGAGAGATGGTCCGCTGCCGGTGTCAGACTCTCGATGCCACTGCTGATTGAGGATATCATTGATGACAGAGTCCCGGCGCGCGCGGATTGGCTGGTCCTGGCGAGTGGACTGCACATGCGCGTCGGAGGAGAAAAGAGCCGAAGGAGAGGAGATCAGCGGGTTGGCCTTTTGAATGTGCTCCGCGGGTGGGCGGCAGGTGGGGCGGCGAAAAAAAAAAAAAAGGGCGGAAGAGGAGGAGCAAGAACAAACCTTCGCCTGGATGGTGGCCGTGAGGGCAGACGTTGGGCGGCCTACATCCGCCTGGGGGAATGGCTGGACACTCGGGCCGGATGAGGAAGCGACCTTCCCGAGGCCAGCATCAATGACAGTTGGCGGTGCCGTCGTCGCGGCAACACCCGCGATGGCACTGGCGGGAGTGGCGGCGGTGGTGACGGTCATGGTGGCGGTGCCGATGGCCGCTGTTGACATCGGACTGGTGGAGGGAGATAGGGGCGGCGAAAAGACCGGGGTAGCGTGTGCACGCACGGGCGCGCCGGTGGACCCGGGACCACCGGTGTTGGTGGCAAACCCCCCACTCTGGACAAAGGACGTGAGTGGTGACGAGGACAGACCGCCAGACGCCGGGGAAGGAGACCTCCCCCCGACGGGCGAGGAAGAAAGCAGGGACCCGGACACCGTGGCGCCGGGGAGGGGGGTGGATGTCACTTGGAAGCCAGTCTGCCGGACAGTGATGACCGGCTTGCTACTGGTACCGGGGGAGGCCACTCGGCGCCCGGCCAGATCACGCGTGGCCACCAGCGGACGAGGGCCCACCCCCTCGAAGACGGGGGGCTCGGTGACGGCCACCTGGGGCACAGGAGCCACCTCGCCTCCGACATGAGCAGCAGCAGCAGCAGCAGCAGCAGCAGCAATGGCAGCGGTGGGGGATGAGGAGGAGGAAGAAGGAACAGGGCCCGGGGTCATGGTTACCGGCTGTGGTAACCCATCAGAGGCGGGCAGTGCGGGATCCGCGCCGGCCGGCGGGTGGACGCCGCTGCCGGTGGTGGCCGGGCTCGAGTACTTCACCTGGTGCGGACTGGGCGCGGCGAAGGCGGACCCAAAATCGGGCGGCACCGATTGGGCAGCACCTGGCCCGAGCGGGCCAACGCGCACCCGGCCAAAGGCCAGCACACGCGAGGGCGGCTCGGCGATGGGTGTCGGCGGGGCGACCGGCCCGCCGGGCTCTGTACCGCCGGCCGAAGAGGGGCTGATAGAGGCAGCCGCCGCGGATGGGTCAACAGGTGGGCACTCTAGGCAGGACGGCTGGGGGGGCGGTTGGCCAGCCGCCGCGGCCGTGGCACAGGCTGAGCAGCGAGCCGGCGCGGCCGCCGCCGCTGCGATGTGGCCCATGGCCGAGGATGTCACGGTCGAGGGGATTGACTGGGAGACCCAATCCCGGCGCCGGGCATAGTCCTTGAGAAAGGACCGCGTGGCTGAGGCCTCCAGACGAACGCGCGCAGCATCGGCCTCGGCGCGCTTCTTGCGGATTGCATGCTCTGGATCGGGGACATTGCGGGGGAGGAGGAACAGAGGGGGTGAGAGAGAGAGGGGGGAGGGAGAGAAATAGACAGCCCGGCGGCCGGAGGGAGCCGGACTGCTGCGGGAGAACGGCGGGCGGACAAAGGCCCAACAGTGGCGTGATGGGCAAAAAAAAAAGAATGCGCGGCGAGGGAAGGGGGAGGAGGCGCACACACCCTTGCGATTGTCGATGCCCAAGATCCAAGAGTCGCGGATGATGTCGCCCTCGGTGATGCCGTCGTCATTGACGTCCGGCATCGTCGGGTCATGGGGAGCACCGGATGCGGTTCCGGCGCCGGAGGCCGCGGCAGAGGCGCTGCCCGGGACGCCGGAGCCGCCTCCGGCCGCCATGCGCTGGCGGTAAATCTGCTGCTGCTGCTGTAGAGTGAGCAATTGGCCACGGGGCCGGCCGGCCGTAGCCAGGGGCAAGCCGCCTCGGGGAGCATCCCACAGGAGGAAGTGCCCGGCGTCCAGGCCATCGGTGGGGGCCTCCGGCCCGTCCAATTCGAAGGATTGCCCCGGGGGGAGGAACATCTGCGAGTAGGCCGAAGAGTAGGAGGATGAGGAGGCCGGGTGGGCCGAGTTGCCGGTGGTGGGGTGTGGCCGCCGGGCTGTGGAGAAGGCTGGCGGCAGGCCGCCTGGAGGGGCTGGCGGTGGGACTAGCGTCGCCACTGGATACAGGAGCTTGGGCTGACCATCCTTGCCGGTGGTCGACGAGGGG